TGTAAAATTTTGATCAGCCATTGTGGCTCCACCCTACCTCCGGGGGTCATGATTTGAACAAAATTGAATGTACACTACGAGGATAATTCAACATGAGTTTCATCTTTGCTGTCCCAATGATTTTTTAGAAGTAGATTTTTAAAGATTTTTCCTATATATTCCCATCATGTAAAACTTTGATAGGCCATTGTGGCCCCACCCTACCCCCGATGGTCATGATTGGAACAAATTTGAATGTACACTACCTGAGGATAATTCAACATGAGTTTCATCATTCCTGTCCCGATGGGTTCTTGAGAAGAAGATTTTTAAGGATTTTTCCTATATATTCCTATGTAAAATTTTGATCAGCCATTGTGGCCCCACCCTACCTCCGGGGGTCATGATTTGAACAAAATTGAATGTACACTACGAGGATAATCCAACATGAGTTTCATTTTTGCTGTCCCAATGATTTTTTAGAAGTAGATTTTTAAAGATTTTTCCTATATATTCCCATCATGTAAAAATTTGATAGGCCATTGTGGCCCCACCCTACCCCCGATGGTCATGATTGGAACAAATTTGAATGTACACTACCTGTGGATGTTTCAACATGAGATTCATCTTTCCTGTCCCAATGATTCTTGACAAGAAGATTTTTAAAGATTTTTCCTATATATTCCTATGTAAAACATCGATCGGCCATTGTGGCCCCACCCTACCCCCGGGGTCATGATTTCAACAAACTTGAATGTACACTACGTGAGGATGATTCAACATGAGTTTCAGCTTTCCTGGTCCATTGGTTCTTGAGAAGAAGATTTTTTAAGAGTGCCATTAATTTTCCACTAATTCATAATTTGAACAAAATTGAATGTACACTACCTGAGGATAATTCAACATGAATTTCATCATTCCTGTCCCAATGATTTTTTTGAAGTAGATTTTTAAAGATTTTTCCTATATATTCCCATCATGTAAAACTTTGTTAGGCCATTGTGGCCCCACCCTACCCCCGATGGTCATGATTGGAACAAATTTGAATGTACACTACCTGAGGATAATTCAACATGAGTTTCATCATTCCTGTCCCGATGGGTTCTTGAAAAGAAGATTTTTAAGGATTTTTCCTATATATTCCTATATAAAATTTTGATCAGCCATTGTGGCCCCACCCTACCTCCGATGGTCATGATTTGAACAAAATTGAATGTACACTACCTGAGGATAATTCAACATGAGTTTCATCATTCCTGTCCCGATGGGTTTTTCAAAAGAAGATTTTTAAAAATTTTCTATATATTCATATATTAAACTTTGATCGGTCATTGTAGCCCCACCCTACCTACCCCCGGGGATCATGATATGAACAAATTTGAATGTACACTACCTGTGGATGTTTCAACATGAGATTCATCTTTCCTGTCCCAATGATTCTTGACAAGACGATTTTTAAAGATTTTTCCTATATATTCCTATGTAAAATTCGATCGGCCATTGTGGCCCCACCCTACCCCCGGGGTCATGATTTCAACAAACTTGAATGTACACTACGTGAGGATGATTCAACATGAGTTTCAGCTTTCCTGGCCCATTGGTTCTTGAGAAGAAGATTTTTTAAGAGTGCCATTAATTTTCCACTAATTCATAATTATCTCCCCTTGAAAGAGGGCGTGGCCCTTCAATTGAACAAATTTGAATCCCCTTTACCCAATGATACTTTGTAGCAAGTTTGGTTGAAATTGGTCCAGTGGTTCTTGAGAAGAAGATGAAAATGTGAAAGGTTTACAACAACGACGACAACAACGACTACAATACAGACAACGGACAAATTTTGATCAGGAGAAGATTTTCAAAGAATTAATGTATTTTCACTATATAGTCAATAGAGCCCCGCCCAAACGCCAGAGCCCTGACCAAGGGGCCATGAAATTCACAATTTTTGAAGAGGCACTCTTAGTTATCATAACTATGTATTTGGTTAGTTTGTTTAATACTAAGGAGCAGAGGAGAAGATTTTCAAAGAAATAATGCACTTTTACTATATGATCTATATAGCCCCACCCTAACACCAGAACCCCTGATGAAGGGGCCATGAATTTTACAATTTTGGTAGAGGACTCAATGCTGATTAAAATCATGCCAACAGTTTGACTGCATGATGTCCAGGAGTAAAGAAGAAGAATTTAAAGATTAATTAAATTTAGTGGCTTTGGTCCCACGCTCAGGCCCCAGTGGAGGGGGGGGGGGGGGCAGGGACCATGAAATTCAAAAATTTTGTCCCCCTTCACCCATAAATGCTTTAAAACAAATTTGGTTGAAATTGGTTCTGTTGTTTCAGAGAAGAAGCTAAAATGTTCAAAAGATTACGACCGACGTACAATGGACGATAGCAATAGACTCAGGTGACTCAAAAAAGAGGCCTATGGGCCTTATAGATCACCTGAGTATTATGTAACAACTTTCCAGCGATTGAATTTGGATCGTGTTTTAAACCAAAAGCTATGAAATTCACAATTTGAAAGAGGCACCATTGCTTATCATAATCATATACTTACTTTGGTTACTTAATACAGGTATCCAGAGGTAGATCAGAGTAACAAAGAGAAAATGCATTTCCACTTTGTCACCAGTTGTGCACCCCATCCCACAGGAATCACTGACTCTGGGGCTACATATTTCAAAATTTTGGAAATTTTATCACAAAATTTGTTTCATCATAAATCGTTGATTAATACCAAAGAGCAGATTTCAAAGCATTAAATTAATTTATTTTCAGGCAAAGTACCCCCCCCCTCCCCCCGGTACCCTGACCCAGAGGCCCTGAAATTAACCATTTTGAAAGAGCCTTTCTTCATCATAAACATGCAATTAGATCATTGGCATCTTAACCAGGAGCAAAGGAAATGATTTTCAAAGAATTCATACATTTTCATAATATAATCAATAGAGCCCTGTCCTAATGCCAGAACCACTGACCCTACGGCCAAAAAATTCACAAATTGGGAAGAAGCACCCTTCCTCATCATAGTTATGTACATAGTTCATTGATTAAATACCCAGGAGCAGAGAAGAAGATTTTTAAAATAATAAGGCCAGCATTGTTTTAATTTTAGGTTTACGAACATCAGAACGAAAAAGTCCCTAAGAGGAGGGAAAAAAATTTTCGATAAATTATCGACTTTTGTACATTCATTTTTGCTTCTTTTATTTAAAGCTCTCCTAACAGGCTCCTTGCCACTGGACACATTATGGTTGCAAATAGGAAGGTAGAACCTTTGTTTCTTTCATTGTCTGCCAGTTGGGGCCAGTGATATTTATTTTGTGATGTTGGTAAAATACAGATTTAAAAAAAAATCCCTTTTTAACTCTTTCAATATATATTCATTGTTTTTAATATGTGGTAGATTAATGTGTAGAAATTGTTCTAAAATATACTTAGACCTAAAATAATAATTCATAAAACAGAGTATTGGGGAGTGGCCGAGTGATGTGAATTTTTTTTCAATTAAGTGTAAAATAATTTTTCTGGCTGCAACATTCAAAATGATACTACATGCCTAGCTGTATATATTTATATATACTTGTTTTTCTAATAGTCGAAATATTTTATTTCTTTAATCTATTGTTTTAAAATTATTTCTTTCTCAAATGGACTTACAGTGTATCTTCTCCAATATAGCCCTCTATTCATTAAATGTGATGCAAAAGTGACCCTTTTCTGAAGAATGATGCTTAGACTGTAAGCTATAACAGAGACCTAAACAATGTCGATGGCAATAGCTACCAGGAGCAGTTTTAAACCTGTGGCTGTGGCCACAGTGGGAGGAAATTAATTTGCAGACACTTTTGAATACAAATACATAATTATCTCACCAGCATGTCATTGGCATTTTCTTTTCCTCTGAACAGGTGAAACATTTTGAATGGCACTCCTATCAATAAATCTTACACTAAACCTAGCTATGGTGCTGCAATGGACTTTGCAGATCTGCCTTTATTTACCGCCATGTTCATCTTAAAACCGGAAGTAAGAGTTTGTAAATTTGAAATCTGATCCCGACTTAAATTTTACATCGCAAAGAAAAAAAATCTGTTTTTCTCAATTTTTTTGTTTTTTTTTCTGAAAATTCAAAAACTTGAGCAGCGGGTTTGAAAACCTAAAAATAAAAAAAATGCTGGCCTAGCTAATGTATTTTCACTATATAATCAATAGAGCCCCGCCCTAACACCAGAACCCCTGACCCAGGGGCCATGAAATTTACAATTTTGAAAGAAACATTCTTGCTCATGATAACTTTGTACTAAGTTAGTTTATTTAATACCCAAGAGCAGAAGAGAAGATTTTCAAAGAATTTATCCAATTTCACTATATAATTAATAGAGCACCACACTAACACCAGAACCCCTGACCCTGGGGCCATGAAATTCACAATTTTGGAAGAGGCAGCCTTATTCAACGTAACTATGTACTTGGTTAGTTTATTTTATGCCCAGAAACAGCGCAGATTTTCAAAGAAACAATGCATTTTCATTACATAATCTATTTAGCCCTGCCCTAGTACTAGAACCCATGACCCTGGTGCCATGGATTTCAAAATTTTGGTAGAGGACTCAATGCTGATTACAATCATGCCAACAGTTTGACTGCTTTATATCCAGGAGCAAAGATTTTAAAAATTGCATTAATTTTAGTGGTTTTGGCCCCATCCATCAGGTCCCAGGGGGGCAGGGATAATGAAAATCACATATTTTGCTCCCCTTTACCCATAGATGTTTTGTGCCAAATTTGGTTGAAATTGGTTGAGCGGTTGCAGAGAGGAAGCTGAAAATGTTCCAATGTTAATACAAGATGCACGGTGGATGATGCAAGAGGACGGACAAAAACAGACAGCAATAGGACGCCCGAGTTTACTCAGATGACCTAAAAAACAGATTGATAGAAAGACATCTTCGACACAAAAGTGATCAAAAATGATTGCTTGAGCTTTCACTTCAGGTAAGTAAAAAATACTTACTTGATGGACATGTGCAGTTAAAACCATTTCCAACTTGAACACAGGTTCCATTATTAAAACAGGGGTTGGACTGGCAAACATCAACAGCAGTCTCACATAATAAACCAATATACCCTGTTTAGAAAAAATGAGAATTTATCAGTAAAGAAACTCAAATTAATGAAACTTTAAAAAATAAGACGTCCTTTGACCTTACAGTCACCAACTTTAGTCTGTCAATCTGTCAACTGTATGAAGAGTGATCTAATTAGCAACTAATTTTAAAAGTTGCCATGGCACCTAACATTTTTGATTGGCACCTAAATTTTCTTTTCAAAAAGTCCCTCAATAGGAGACAATTTTAAGTTGACCTGAAGATCGTCAAAGAATAGAGGCGTACAAAGTGAGAACGATCCCTGTTCTGAGAAAAGGCATTTCTCAATTCTAAAAGTTCATAAAAGCTATATTTTTCAAAACTATATAGTTAATATAATCTTTTACACATTTAATTCTGTATTTCATTGTTTTGATATCTTATTAATAATTTATTTTTCACTCATGTTTTTAAGTTATGTGAAAACAAAAAAGAAAAAGCTTCACGTATGATTTGAACACTCTCCCTAGTGCAGGCCCAGTTTGGCGCAAGATCGACCGTGTTAACCACTATGCAATGAAGAATATGTGTTATAGATGTCTGTCAGTGTGATTTAAATAACTGATTTGTTGAAGCATGCATTTTTTCAGAAATGTTCGATTTTCATATAGAATGGGTTCAGATTCTATTTTTTTGACAAATGAAATAGATTTAACATTTATGTTCCCATCATTTAAACGTAATCAAAGAATGGAGACAGTTGTCCCATTCATGTTCAAAATTCAGTTTTTATGGCTCCAGTAAACCCATTTTCCCCAAAATATACTTAACTGTCAACTTTGAAAAAAAGATAGTCAAATGATATGCCGTTCAGTAAAATAAATAATAAAATGAATTAAAAATGACATTACTGAGAGCGAGGGATTTTCCACGCCTGTAACCCCTCTTTCTTTATAAGCTATAAACATTTTCAACAATGTTTTTGTTCATTAAGAGTAGAAAGAAGTTGAAAAGTTCACAATTGAATTTTTTTGAGTATTTTCTTTCTCACCTTGTTTGTTTATACAGTAAGCAAAAGTGGATAAAAAAGTTTGCTGCAGCACCTGAGTGCACACAGAGCTCCCAGATAAAACAAGTTTTAGCTTCAGAATGTGGACCATCATGAAGTAAATTGGTTGTGTGATATTGTCAATTGTTTGTTTCAAGGTGAGTCATATATGTTTCTCGAATAAATGGCAAGTAAATTCTTAATGCAGCAAAGAAAATTCACTTTTAATAACCTGGTAGCACTGCAAAATAGCAAATTAATCCAAATTTTTCTTATCGTATTGTTGTTGCAAGGTCCTAAAGATGCATATTTGACAGTCTTGAATTTTCATGTTTTTCCTTAAGACAGTTCCATTACATGTAATCTAATCTTAGTTGCTGATTTTACTTTGTTACACTGTGTTAAAATGGCAACCATTCAAGTTATTGATGGAATAATATTGCTTATACATTTTCATTGTTTTCTTGATTGAGTTTGAGCATGTGACACCTGCCATTATCGTGAATACTGAGCGTTTTTCAGCATATTTCAGCATTTTAAATGTATACAAAATGTACCCTTGCTTACTGCTTAGAGATATATTCTAAACAGTTTCTATACAGTATACGTGGCAACAAGGTGTCATGTTTTTCTGAGAATGGTTTGTTTGCTTTTCTGAATTTTTATTAAGACTCAGTAAAGATTAAAAGTAGCTCAACATCTTAAATTTTCAAAATTTTCCGGCTGTTACCCTGGTAATGAGACAGATAGCAATGAAAATACTAACAATGAGTGAAATTTCATCAAAATCGGTGATCATGCGTGGCAACGAAGTTTAAGTGGTTACAGAGAATGGATCTTAAACCATTTCTGAGCAACACTTCTGTTCCTTTAATCAGGAAATGGATATTTTTATAAACACTTTTAGCTCACCTGAGCCGAAGTTCATCTTCTTCTCAAGAACCACTGAACCAATTTCAACCAAACTTGCAACAAAGTATCCTTGGGTAAAGGGGATTCAAGTTTGTTCAAATGAAGGGCCACACCCTTTTCCAAGGGGAGATAATTATGAATTAGTGAAAAATTAATGGCATTCTTAAAAAATCTTCTCAAGAACCAATGGGCCAGGAAAGATGAAACTCATGTTGAATCATCTTCAGATAGTGTACATTCAAGTTTGTTCAAATCATGACCCCTGGGAGAAGAGTGGGGCCACAATGGCCGATCAAAGTTTTACATAGGAATATATAGGAAAAATCTTTAAAAATCTTCTTCTCAAGATCCAATGGGGCAGGAAAGATGAAACTTGATCATGCTAAATCATCCTCAGGTAGTGTACATTCAAGTTTGTTCAAATCATGACCCCCAGGGGTAGGATGGGGCCACAATGGCCGATCAAAGTTTTATATAGGAATACAAGATGCCCATGGGCCTTATAAGTCACCTGAGTATCATGCAATAAATTTCAAATGATTGAATTTGGTTCATGTTTTAAGCTAGATCCTATGGCATTCACAATTTTTTGAAAGAGGCCCCATTGCTAATCATAACTATACACTTAGCAATTTCTTAGTTTGGTTACTTAATACCCCTAGACAGGGTAGGGGAATAAAAACTGCATTTCAAGTAATCAGTAATATTCAGCAATAATCAGTAGTGTCCTTACCACACATGAACCCCTGACACTAAGTCCACACATTGCACAATTTTTGAAAAGGCACCCTAGCTTATCAAGAATGTTTGATTGATATCAAGGAGCAGATTTCAAACAATTAATCCATTTTCAGTATATAAGTATCCCCATCCCCTCCTATGGTACCCCTGACCCAGGGGCTTTGAAATTCACAATTCTAGAAGAAGGGCCCTTGCTCATCATAACTATATAGGTAGTTCATCTGCTTCTTACCCAGGACCAGAGAAAAAAAAATTCATAGATGTCATCTATTTTCACTATAAATTCATTATAGAGCCACACCCTAACACCAGAACTTCTAACCCTAGGGCCATAAAATTCACAATTTTGGTAGAGGCACTCTTGAGCGTCATAACTATGTACTTTGTTAGTTTATTTAATATCCAGGAGCAGAGAAGCAGATTTTCACAGATTTAATGTATTTTCACTACATAATTAATAAAAACCCAACCTAGACCTACCCCAACACCAGAACCCCTGACCCTGGGGCCATAAAATTCGCAATTTGGGAGAAGCACTCTTGCTCATCATAACTATGTACTTAGTGAGTTTATTAAATACCAAGAAGCAGAGGAGAAGGTTTTCAAAGAATTAATGCATTATCATTATATAATCAATAGAGGCCCACCCAAACACCAAAATCCCTGACTCTGGGGCCATCAAATTCATAATTTTGGAAGAGGCACGTTTGCTCATCATAACTATGTACTTAGTGAGTTTATTTAATACCCAGAAGCAGAGAAGAAGATTTTTATAGAATTAATGCATTTTCACTATATTATCAATAGAGCCTCACCCTAACACCAGATCCCCTGACCCTGGGGCCATTAAATTCACAAATTTGGTAGAGGCACTCTTGCTCATTATAACTTGTGCTTAGTTAGTTTACTTAATACCCAGAAGCAGAGCAGAAGATTTTCAAAGAATTAATGCATTATCATTATATAATCAATAGAGACCTACCCCAACACCGAAACCCCTGACTCTGGGGCCATAAAATTAGCAATTTTGGTAGAGGCACTCTTGCTCATCATAACTATGCACTTAGTGAGTTTATTTAATACCCAGAAGCAGAGTAGAAGATTTTCAAAGAATTAATGCATTTTCACTATATCATCAATAGAGCCTCGCCCTAACACCAGATCCCCTGACCCTGGGGCCATTAAATTCACAAATTTGGTAGAAGCACTCTTGCTCATCATAATTTTGTACTTAGTTAATTTATTTAATACCCAGAAGCAGAGAAGATTTTCAAAGAATTAATGCATTTTCACTATATAATCAATAGAGCCTCACCCTAATACTAGAACCCCTGGCCCTGGGGCCATGAATTTCACAATTTTGTTTAAGGACTCAATGTTCATTACATTAATGCCAACAGTTTGACTGCTTGATGTCCAGGAGTAAAGAAGAAGATTTTTAAAGATTTCATTAATTTTAGTGAACTTTGCCCCACCCCTAAGGGCCCAGGGGGGCGGGGACCATAAAATTCAAAATTTTTGTTCCCCTTTACCCATAGATGCTGTATACCAAATTTGGTTGAAATTGGTTTAGTGGTTTTAAAGAAGAAGCTGAAAATGTTCAAATGTTACTACACGACACACGACAGACGACAGACGGATGAAAACGGATAGTAATAGGTCACCTGAGTGACCTAGGTGGCATAAAAAACTTTAACAAGAGGCCCATGGGCGTTATACGTCACCTGAGTATCATGTAACAACTTTCAAACAATTGCATGAATTTGATTCGTGTTTCAAACCAGAGGCCATAAAATTAACAATTTTGAAAGAGGCACCATTGCTTTTCATCATATACATTTAGCATGCTTACTTTGGTTACTTAATACCAAGAGGTAGATCAGAGTAACAAAGAGAAAATTTTCACTTTATAAGTTGCGCACCTATCCCACAAGAACAACTGACCTTGGGGCCACATCTTTCAAAATTTTGGAAATTTTATAAATTTTATTCCATAATGTTGTTGATTAATACCAAAGTGCATACAGTGGACCTTCAGATATCCGGACGCCAGATATCCGGATGCTTCAGTATCCGGACGACTTTTCATTGGAACGGAATTTTGTAATTTTATTTTGTCTTGTTTAACTGGTTATTCAGATATCTGGACGCTTCAAATATCCGGATAAATTATCTAGGAACCAAAGCTTCTGGATAAATGAGGCTCCACTGTATTTCAACGCATTAAATCATTTTCAAACTATGTACACCCCCCAAGTACCTCTGTCCCAGGGGGCCTGGAAGTTAACCATTTTGGAAGAGGCAGCTTTTTTAGTCATAAATTTGTACTAAGATCAATGG